CGAATAAGCGTCAGGGATTACACTAGGCGGTGCATTCCCAAAACACATATTGACCTTGATTTTTCTAGGTCAGCGACCTACTCTGACCTTTAAAAAGCTCATAGAACATGTCTGTTGCGGTCCCTGTCATTAATTAACTTGCAATGAGCAACATAAACTACCCCATAAAGCCAAGCTCTGGAGTAAAAAAGCAAATCAGTTTTGGCCTCGTCCTGGCATTCATACCTAACTGTAGGTTAATGGAAATGGTTATAACTTTAAGCCCGTGTGGTTTGCTGCCTGATAAGCTATGGCAGACACGTATGACTTTGTCTAACATTCCATCGTTGCATCACATTAAACGATGCCGTTGAAATGCGCTTCGCTGTCAGCCATGGCCAGCCAACTTTAGGGTTTGACTTCAGGTCAGTGACCTTACAAGGTACATCTAATCTCCATATCAAAAGATCTGCTGTTCGTTTCTCTTCAGCTATGCAAAGTTTGGCGCCGCTACGCCACGCTGCTTGGAAATCATTTTGGAAATCCTCCAGGTCAATTTATCTCCCCCACCCATCCAACCGGTCGCGTGTTAAGCCCGGATGTGTTTTGTAACGTAATCTCCCATTACAGTTCAGCTTAACGGCCCCAAGCTGGAAACGGATTGGAGGTCCCGCAGTTCGGTACTGGGGGCCCTGACTGGCACAGGACCGTTCCATCGCCCCAATTTGAGCACTCATCGTAAGTTCTCATGTTTCCTTTCATTGTCAGAGGGCCCTGACCAACGCCGGAGGCCCTCTGTTATTTGGGGTCCCGTCCCCGCCCCTGTTTAGCGAATGCTCCGCTGACCGACTCGAGGCCTGTCGTCGGCACAAAGCACCCTGTTAGGCACCGTGGACCACTGAACGATGCAGAAACTTCGACCGGTGTAAATAGTAGGATCGTCCTTCCTCCTTCTTTGGAAATATGTCTCTAGAGCTCAGACCAACATGAAGCCGACTGTTCGTTTTACATGATCTCTGGCTGAAAAAGAGGAGCGTTCTATCTCTGGGGTCGCAATCAGTGCAAGAGGTCATCTTACTGGCATTTGAGATCACGGCCCTGCCATGGATGGCGGTCCTTAAGGTGACCTAGAGCCATCCCTTCGGACCCTTCAACCTTCCAATCGGGCCCTCAGGGTCTCGGGTCTCGAAATGCTCTTCGGC